GTTTATAGACTTTTAGTTTTTTATGTTTAAAGTTTTAAAGTTTTTTTTATATGTTTCTAAGTTAATTTATCCTTTACTATATTTAATTAATAATGTATTAGTAAGGGTTACCTTAAATAAGTTCTTTTTTATGTAGAATAGTATACTTTATTTATCTACCTAATCCTTGTCTATTACAGTAAAGGTGCATCTACTGTCTACAAGAGCTAGCCTAGGCCACCCTTTATACATAAAGGTGGTTGTTAGGCTGTGTCTTACCCTTTATTTAACTATAATTACTACTAATATATTATGTTTAACTTTTTTATTTAGAAGAGAGTAAAAGTTAATATCTTATAAATTATTATTAAACTTTTTTATTTATTTATAAATTTAATGTTTTTAATTATAGTAGTTAGCTACTTTACATTTATAATCTTTAACTAAGTAATGTAATATTAGGTAGTCTTTTTTTTTTACTGCTTTTTACTAAAAGTAGTAAAACTAGTAGTTTTTTTATTCTTTACATGCTGTCTATCTTTTCTACTTATGTAAAAAAGTAGTTTAGTAGGTGTAACAATTTATAGTTTTATAGGCTAAGGCTGTCTCTTACTATAGGCAACTGTTGTAGTTTTTTTTCTATATAAGCTACTAGCCTGTCTAGTGTTTATTGTCCTAATGTTTTACACAGTAACGCTGTGTACATTAGTACTAGGGGTATAAATAATTCTTAGGTCTATGTAACATGTTAAAGAGGCTTTTCTAAGTCTACTAAGAGTATTCTTATGTCTATATTATTTAGACAGGGTGTTCTTTTTATTAGTAATTATTAGTGCTATAAGTTTTATTTCTACAGAGTGTGTACTAGCTATAGCTCTGTTTTATTACTAAAGCCTTCCTGCTAATTACTAGGCTTAGAAGTAGCGTTTTAGGCTTTCTAGGTACTAGCTTTAGAACTTTAAACTTAGTAAGTTTACCTAGTCTTTCTAGTTTCTAGTCTTAGACTTTAATAAAGAATTACTACTACTTTTTTTTATTTATAATGTTATACTTAACTCTAGCTATTTGCTGTATAATGTTAAACATAAAGTAGTTGTTACTAATGTTTATTTAGTAAAGTAAGACTATGTAATAGCTTAGATAGTTATGTTATAAGCTACACTTCTAGCATTTATATTTCTAAAACTGTTAGAAGAGCTCTTTTACTAAAGTACTAAAGGTCTAGTCTTAAAAGAGGAACTATTCTTCTTTTTTTTAAACATTTATAATATATCCTTAGATTTAAGTCTCTTCTTTGTATTTTTTTAGAATTATAAAGTTCTATAACACTATATTTAAGCTACTAAAGTTTTAAATAACTACCTTTTAATACACTTTAAAGTAGTTATTTAAAGAATAGTTTTTTTATATTACTAGTAAAGTTTATTATTTAGTCTTTCTAATATTTTCTTATTTATAAGGCTGTATTTAGCAGTAATAGCTTTTATTATTATAGTAGTATTTTTATTCTCTCTCTTTTAGAAGTCTAGGTAGTTTTAGCAGAAATGTTCTACTTTTTTATAGTTTAGGCAGGCCTTGTTCTCTAGCTACTTTTATTATTCTTTTATTAAAGGTAGCCTATTACATTCTAGAACTTAGCTTTTTTTAAAGAGAAGGCTTTATGTATACTTTATGTAACTAAGATCTATTAGTTTTTTATTATATTATAAAAGTTTTTTCTTTTTAGAAATAAACTTTAGCTTTTAAGAAGTTTTTTTTATTTCTTTTCTTTTTTACTCTTCTTATAGTAGTTATTATAAGTTGTTGCTTATATAATAAAGTTTTTAAAAGTAGTTAGCTTATTACTATGCATAAATTTGTCTTTTACTAGTTTACTTAGTCTATTATAGAACATGCAGTAGAGGGCTTTCTAGTCTATCTATCTGCAGATAGCTAGTTGCTCTCTAAAATATGCTGCATAGTTTTAAACTAAACTAGTCCTTTATTTTATAGCATTTAACTTATTAGCTATAATTTTTTTTTATTTAAAGTTTTATAAATAGCTATTAAAGCTTCTTTAAAGTTTTTAATGCTACTAAATATTTTTTTTATTTTAGAGGTAAACGCTTTGCTATTTGCCCTAAAGTTTATCTAATTATCTGCATAGAGTTAAAACTAAATTACAGGAAGGCTTTTTAAGTATAGTTCTATTTAGAATATTATTTCTGTGTTAGTCTAAAATGCTCTTTTATTATATTACATATAAAGGTAATATTTTATAAAGAATAGTTAAAGGTCTTTTAATAAGCTTTTAAAAGGCTTTAAAAGAGCTAGTTTTAAAGTCTTTTTAGCTATAATACTTACTTTTCTAGTTAAGATGTTTTAAATTTTTGCTAGCTTTACTTTTAGTTTATGTATTTAATAAGCTTAGTTAGTAGCTTTTTAAAGGCTTAAAAGTCTAAAAGGTGTTTATAATTCTATTACTTTTTAGTAAAGGTTAGTAATCTTTTACTTAAGTTTTAGTAGCTTACTAACTTTGTTACTAATTTACTAGAGTTTTTTAATGTTGTTCTAAATTAAGTTAATTTACTTTACTAAAATAGCTTTACTTTAGGTAGAAACTTCTATAAATTCTAATAGCATAGCATAGGCTATGTTAAAATCTAAGTTATGTTATAAAGTATCTATACTTTTTAAAGAGAGTAGTGTTTAATGTTATAATTCTTGCTTTTTAGAAGCACTTAAGTCTTGTAATATCCCTATAGAGGAAGTAGGGCAGATAATAGGGGCTAACTAGTAGAGTGTACAGTCCTACGTACAGGCTAATAGGCTATTAGAGGGGAGTAGAGTGACTAGATTATAGTTTGCCCTATATATAGTAGTAAAAAGGCTAGGGTTAAACAGTCCTGTTAGACAAAGTTAGAGGTATATATAGTGTAAGATATATAAATAGTATTATAGCTTTTTAAAAAGCTAAATGCTACTTAGTTTATATAAAAAATAAACTAAATATTAAACACACTTTTTAAAAGTTGTTTAACAAGAGAACTATATACATGTAAAAGGGGCACTAAGGCGAGTTTAGGTAAGCTTAAGCAAGCTTTATAAGTTAGCCCTACTGCTAACTTGTTCTAGCTTGTCTAGACTTGCTAAGCTACTTTAGGCCTCACGTCCTGTTTTCCTACTAGACAACGCATTCTTCCATTACCGCGGGCAGCTGTGCTGCCTCCGTGACCTCCGATTGGTCCATAAGCGAGCCCTGTCCCGACCCGGCTAGATTGTGGAGCACCGATGGTGGAGTTACGCTGGTCCAACCGTAGACCGTAACAGGGAGTTGCAGGTAGCTGGTGTTGATTGTTCTTGTTGTTCTAAGTCTGTGCGAAGGAAAGGGATATTTATCTGTCTGTGCGTACGACTGTGACACAAGAATATGTCACGTGACGCCCAACCGCGTATCCAAATACTGCTATTCGGACAAGAAATCTACTTAGAGGCATATAGAAGTGCGTAGGGACTTAATAACCTAGGAGTTTTATTAACACCTATAGGCCTTGTATAAAGGATATTAGAAAACTACTAAGCTAGCTAAGGGGAGAGGTGCGACTAAATACTTAGGGGAATAGGAGTAACTGCAGGGGACAGGGTTGAGTCATGGTCAGGGCCGCTACGGGGACCCTTCGGATAGGTTCTGAGCGACCTGAGATGGAACGAATTATGAGAATCGTTACAAGATTCTTTCGTTCTGCAAACCCGAATATATTAAGTAGAGCAAGCTCTGCTAATAAGATTTGTAAGGGAAAAGTGGTTACTTGGCATTGCCAAGAATCCAGCGAATTTCGCACACAACAATAATGCCTCTATTCCCCCAAGTATTTAGTCGCACCTCCCTGTAGCTAGCTCGGTAGTTTTCTGATATCCTTTCGTACAAGACCTATAGGTGTCAATAATATTCCCAGGTTACTGAGTCCCCACGCACTCCCATATGCCTCTGAGTGGATTCATACCGCATTCGGAACCATTGTCTTGCCTGTGCCGTTACAATAGATGTTGTAGAGTAAAATGTAATTTAAGTACAAAAATGTTGTTAGAGCAGACTGTTTACTTGCGTAGACTACTTGCTTGTGAAATACGTTACGCAAGTTCTTTAGTTAGTTATAAATAAAATTAGGTTTTTACTCATAGTATTAGTCACGCTAAGGGATTTTGTCTGGCTTAGTAATTTGCCTAGCTTAGTGATAGTTTACGTTATTGTACAGTCAAACCCCGCCAAGCCGATAGGAATCCAGCCACGTCAATTTAATCGCCTTACTAAGGGTATTGGCTCACTAGGGTTGCTAAGATGTGTCTTAGCAATAATTTAATTATATAAGCTAACTATCTAGTGTTTGTTAGCGCTAATGTTAAGCCTTGTAGGCTTAATATTGCCTCTCTAGGCGCTTAAGTTAGCAGATGTCTGTATTAATTGCTATCTTTTAGTGTTGTTAGTATTATAGAAGTAACTAGATAGCCTAAATTACTTAATAAGTTATAGGTAGAAGTATAATCTTACTCTTATCTTTAGCTTAAGCCTCCTTAGTATTAATGCTATTGTTATGCTTTACAACTATATCCTTAAGCATTTAATCTTTCTCTCTAATATTAGTGTCTTTATTAATTAGATTAAGGAAGTTACTAAGGCTTATTATATCCTGTATCTAGCTAGCCTCCTGCGTATGATTGTATAGGCCTGAGAGGTCTAGTTCTGGCTAGAGGGGTAGCTACAGTACCTGTAGTAGGATAACTGTACTGCAGCAGAAGCAATTATATATTATTAAGCTTAATATATTATCTATCTAAGTAATGCGCAGCTATTAAAGTGTGTTTTAAAGCGTAATTATTAATAAAAGGTTGTAGCTAGCCTTATACTTCTTTACTATAAATTAAAGCTAGTATTTCCTATAGTAGGTCTTTAGATTCTAGATAATCTCTTAATTAAGAGGTTAATATAGGCTTGTTGTATTTAGTAGAAGAAAGGCAACGCAGATATAGGATAGTAGAGGAGCCTACTGTAAGGCCGGATGTCCCAGAACGGGCCAGTATGGCCTCACCTGACCTGTTTGGAGGTCGTATGACCTGTGCTTCGTATATAAGCATGAATCCTGACAAGCGAAGCTTGGCAGCGATTCGTCTCTCTTACAATACACTCCTATCTTTCTCCGAAAGCTTGCTCTCAGTGCTATCCGTGCTACTTACCATCCCATCTTTACACCTACTGTAGGCCTTAAATGTAAGCCTTAAAGTTGTCTATAAGAAGAAGAATTAGCTAAGCTATAACGCTACTATAGAAATATATTAACTACTTAGCTATAAGTGTTAAGTTTATCTATGCTTTCTTATTTACACGCTAATATATATTAAGCGCTTAGAGATTAATACTATAGAGAGGTTAAGGCTGCTTAGCATAGCTAATAAGCTATAGAGATAGCTAATAAAAGCTAGTTACATTAGTATAGCATACTATAGTAATTCTTAACTTTAACTTTTTAACTTTAGGTAGAGGCTAGGTTAATAGCTCTTTTACTAGTATATTTTTTTAGAATAACTTTGTTTTATTTATATTATATATATTCTCTTTAGCATACTTACTATAGATTGTTTAAACTAATTTTATTGCCTTTTTTACTACAGTATTGTCTACAGATCTAGCCTTACTGTGGCGCTGTTAAAACTTAATATTAAAGCGCTGCTAGAACTAATATAGCCAGCCCTAGCTAAACTTTAGAGGAGGTAGATGTTAATACTTATTAATCTGCAGCTAAATCTTACATGCTTTTTTAAAAAGTAGGTTGCTAGTAATATAGGCTCTGTAAGCTTTTATTAACTAAAACTACTAAAAGAGTATTAAGTTAAAAATTAGCTAATTACTAGTTATATGTTACACTACTAATAAAGGCTGCTAAAAAAGATTAGGTTAGTTAATATTATTAAACACACTGCTTAGTAACTTAGAGACTGTTAACTAACTAATTCTATAGTTATACTACTATAAGAACCACTGTATACAGTCCTTATAGCATAGTTAAGGTGTTTAACTCTTATACTAGCTTTTAAGAGCTCTGCGCTGTTCTTTTGTAATCCTGCAAGCTATTACTTGTTAATTTTAGTAAGGTAATATTTTAGTGTTTTGCAGCTAATATATTAGGGGGTAAGGTATTAATTAATTTGTATAGGGGGATAATTAAGGCACAAAAAAATTATCGCAATATTAAGGTTATTAGCTTGGCGGGTGATCGGCTTGGCGGGGTTTGACTGTATACACCTTACTATTCTAAGCTTTGCTTTTCCAAGACATTTATGAATTAGCGTATTATGTTAATTAGCCTAGAAGAGGGACATCTAAAACGATAATCTCACTCAGGCAAAGCTCTCATAACGCCTTCAAACGCAACCAAAGCCATTGCGTTAGCCGGAAATGCCCTCAAGAAGCACGGGACAAACCCTCTCCAGTAACCTCGCCAACCTCGCTCTCGATAAACCGCTCTTGCAGCATTGCGCCACCGGGGGAACTTCCGGTCTTGACCTAGAGGATCGGTCATGATGCGCTGTTTCACGACGTCTGATGGGTACGATGTGATCCAGAAGACTTGGGCGGAGAGACCTCCAGCCCAAAAGTTCACGGCGGGGGTTGAAAGGTTGGTGTGTGATTTGAGTGCGGTGGTGAAGATGTCGTAGGTGCCCCACCAGAAACAGAAAAATGTGCGGAAGAGGAGGGTAGCGCTGAGACCGTGCCAGACGCCTCTGACGCCGTGGTTTCGGAACTGGATGGTAAGATATATGTGTTTATGAGGTGACTGAGGGCCGACTTACTGTCTTCTTGAGGCAGTCGATGGGTCCGCTGTAGAGCCTCTGGGCTTTCTGTGCCTGATATTGGACCTGTAGACGGGCTTTGATGTGCTCGACAGGCCCGGCAATAAAGGAGACTGTCCAGCCAGCCATTGTACCTGCCATAGCATGTCCCAGCACAGGGAGTTTGGGTTGTTGTCCAAAATTCAGTTCTCTTGTCGGGTTGAAGATATTGTCATTCAGGATACGCCGATACACGCTCAGCGATCCCAGCATTCTATTGCTAATTAAATGGTGGACTCTGAGAAGAGTGTACCTTACTCACATTGAGTCCATGAACATCCACCCGACCAGGGGTGGGGTTGCGCCCTTATATATTCCCTTGACGCCCTCGTTGCGCAGCGTTTGGAGTAGACAATCTAGTGGGCCCTTGAACTGAGAATGATCGGTCGTCTGTAACCGCACTTTGATGGTATCGAATGGATGGCCGACTGGAGGTGGTTAGCAATTATATAAGAGGAATAATTGTGTGCAATATGACCCACCGGATAGCTTTGTAATGCCAGAGAAGACTCCCGCGACGAAGCCTTTGTAGTTCTTTGTACCTCCATCGGCCTTTCGCGGGTGCTCTGCAAGCCCTTGCGGCAATGAGGGCTTCGTGGCCGTCACTGACATTGGTGGAGAGAATCAGGCAACGGCGCCAATATTAGGACCATACCGCTGGCTGAAGCAGTGATTAAGAGGGTGCGGGGGGGTCAGCAGCGAGCGTGGGTTTCTCCATCCCAGGCTCGATGTTTCGATAGCTCTCGGAGATGCGCAAGCGTCCGCGATGGACGATGTCGATCTTGATGTGCCGAGATCGGCTTGTGTCGCTCACCGACCCGGCCCACCCCCCATCACCCTCTCCGCAACGGCAAACAGTACAATGTAGCTCACCACCGTGAGAAGCTTGTCTTGATCGCTCAGCTAATCCTGCAGTATCCCTGCGATTGCAGGTTGTACAGCATGACTGAAGCCAACCCAGATCCGAGGCCTCTAGTCGCATCGAAGAGAGGCAAGTATCCACCTGAGTTCTCCCTTTTACACAAACGCGCACAATCTAACAGCATATACAGTGTGGACTACCCTCATCACGAACACGGCTTACCTCACCGGCCTGCTTACGCTCGACCACAGCCTCAAGAAACACAAGTCTGCATACCCGCTCGTCGCCCTTTACACCGACACGTTCCCACCCGAAGGCCACAAAGCGCTCGACATTCGTGGCATTCCCAAGAAACATGTTCGCTACCTGTTGCCTAAGGTGCACAAGGACTTTACCAATGATCCGCGCTTCTACGACTGTTGGAGCAAGCTGACGCCCTTCTCGCTCGTCGAGTATGACCGGGTTGTCCAGTTGGACAGTGATATGATGGTGCTGCGGAACATGGACGAGCTGATGGAAATGGAGCTAGACCCGCCGAGAATGGGGGGCAAGGGCAACAGGGTGTTTGCGGCGAGCCATGCCTGTGTCTGTAACCCGCTGAAAAAGCCGCACTATCCGAGAGACTGGTACATCGAAATGAGACACTGCCTTCAAGTGCACAATTGACATGGATATAGGATTCCAGAGAAATGTGCTTTCACCTTACAACACGGTACCCCTGATGAAGCGCAGACACAAGGCGCATCTCCTTCGTTCGGCCTCGGGATACCCAACGGCGGACTCCAGGTCGTTAACCCGTCGAACGAGGTCTACCGGCTCATCGAGGAGAAGTTGTCGGAGGAATCGACGCTAGACTATGACTTTGCGGATCAATCGCTCCTGGGCGACGTGTTCTCTGGGCGATGGGTAGCTCTCCCATATACGTACAACGCGTTGAAGACATTGCGATGGGAGGGAGTGCACCACCAGATATGGCGGGACCATGAAGTAAAGAACATCCACTATATCCTGAGCCCGAAGCCGTGGGATGAGAAGCCTGGCGAACACGCCGAAGAGTCTCACGAGTGGTGGTGGAAGACGAACCTGGAACGTCTTTCAGTGGAGAGGAGTGGAGGCATTTACGACAGATTTTGATAGTTGACGCTGTGCGTGAGCGAGGCTTAATTAGATCAGATTTCACCACACACAGGAGGCACCTGCTCCAATAGTTCAACACTAAACAATTGGCACCTGATGAGCGGGTCCTCATTTGGGCGATGTGTGATGCCGCCGTCAGGAGTAGTTTCGCGCGTACCTGCATGCATGTTAGATTGCTGGTGGTGGCGGGCAACGTTGCACGGCTGATTTGCGATAGGTAAAGCGCGGAGACCGCATGTGTAGAGGTGTTGCTTGTGCATATGTTTGAATCTAATAAAATTCCAAGCTCAAAGTTTCTGGCCCCTTTCTTTCAGTCTGTGGGTTGATGCTTTCGGCGGCGGCGGCGTTTGGCGGGGACCTCCCGTCTGTTGGTTTCGGCTGGCTGCTGATCTTCAACGTGTTTCACCTCCATCACCCTGAAGCTTTCCGCAGAGTGACATCCCACACCTGCACTCACCGGCGTCCCTCACTACAGCTCCAGCACGCAAAATTCACCGACCTCAATTGTACACTGCCGCGCCTCCCACCACCCGAGACCCAATCGACCCTTCACCTAGCATAAAGAGAACGAACTCTTAACACACGACTGCCTAATCTCTCCGGATATTTCGCGCCTTTTTTTGCAGCAATGGGCGCGTCAATATCGAAGATGATGAATAAGATCTTCGGATCCAAGGAGATGAGGCTGCTGATGCTCGGCTTAGATGCCGCTGGCAAGACGAGTATGTAGACCGGTCCACCATCACGTTAGGGTCGCTAATGGGGTCACTTGGCAGCTATCCTGTACAAACTCAAGCTCGACCAAGACGTCACGACCATTCCCACCGTCGGCTTCAATGTAGAGACAGTCACATATAAGAACACCAAATTCAATGTCTGGGACGTAGGAGGCCAGGACAAGATACGGCCACTGTGGAGACACTACTTCTCCGGTATGTTGGGGCACCATAATTCTGTTCCGGGTAGGGTGCGACTGCGGCGTCAGGCTGCCTTGTGCCTATTCCCTTGTCCATTCCCTCTCTTATGCTAAAGGTATTCAAACCTAACATGACTGAATAGGCACCCAAGGCCTTATCTTCGTCATCGACTCCAACGACCGCGACCGCATCGACGAGGCCCGAACGGAACTGACCCGCATCATTCAAGACCGAGAAATGAAGGACGCGCTGCTCCTAGTCTTCGCGAACAAGCAGGATCTCGCCGGAGGTACATTCTACTTACTCCCTGGACACACTCCGATCACAAGGAGACTAACATAACGGCACAGCAATGCGACCCAAAGAGGTCTCGGATAAGCTCCAACTAGAAAAGATTGCAAAAGACCACGTGTGGAAAGTCGAGCCCAGTTGCGCGACAACAGGTGAAGGGATTTTCGAGGGTCTGGTATGTGCACTATCCTCGGTTCCCAGTCCCCCTCTCCGTTCCTGCACAAGCCTCACGGACTTTCATATACTCAACACCCGCTAATGCATCCAAACTCACAGGCATGGCTCTCAAATAATGTCAAGGTTCCTCCTACCAAATAGTCACTCGGCTCCTCTACTCCACTTCCCCCTCGATCTAACTCGAATCGAACCATCGAACGTCTGTCTCGTGCGACTGCATGCTCCCTCCTCCCTCCTCCTTCTACTCTGCATATACCCGGTTCTCTCGGTCGCGTTCCTAACGGCTCCTTAGTCGATATATTTTTTTTCTAATACTGGCTTCGCGGAGGTATGTTTCTTTCACTTCTCATCCATGTCCCTCTTCCCATCTGGCGGTGGTGCTGGTGCCGGCAGGTTCAAGGGGATGCTAGATACCCCTTTCCCTAAGGTGTGGTGTGTTTCCGGGTCTTCTGTGTCTTTGCGGTCTTGCGGTCTTGCGGTCTTGTTTTCGCCCATTTCGAATCTGTGGTGTAGTTTGCATTCTATCCATTCCCCTTCCGTTGTAGATTTCTCTGTGGAGAGAGATTGGAGTTGATGTTTATACTGCGCGGTGAGATGGGGAAGACTGGGTTTTTCGAACAGGCGCGAAGGATAGATGATGTTATGGATATGTGTATGGAAATTGTTACACACAACAAACGTCTGAAAATAACTGTTTGGGTGAAGTGTCTTCTCATTGCTCCTTATCGGACCGGTGATGTAATAGCAGGACTGTTGGGAGAGGACTGATATTTCTAGGAAGGGATGGGATAGGTTTGACCGTGAGCAATATAGATAATGAGGGACCAGTGGCAATGGCAAGTCTACGTACCTATGTAGTGTCCAATCTTTAACTCTCACAACCACTCAGGCCTCCCCGCACAGTTCAATCCCACAGTGCTCAAACGATACGTTACTCTCCACTGCTAATCATAGGTAACACTCTGTCCAATACGCAATAACCAAACCTAGCGTCTGTGAACCATTACACACCAAGATTTACCTATCCGGCAAAACAAACCTCCTCTCAACATTCATCTCCCGATCCGCCTCATCCTCACCTTCAAACCTCAACCTCACATACTCCTCTGGCTTCGGGGTCACCATAACGACGCCTCCTCCACCCTCCTCCTCCTTCTTGATCCCACCCCCACCCAAGCCCTTACTCCCTTCCCTTCCTCCCACAATCCCTTTCGCCGACCACCCCGCTACAACCTCCGCCTTATAAAAGGTAGTGGTCCCTGGATACAGCGCAAGCACATGTTTCCCCGTCTTTAGATCCGCAAGACTAGCGTTCGTGTTTGCCGGTGGTATGGGAATGAGGTGGTTTACGGACGCGCGATAAGGTTGCGCGGGGACGGGGGGATCGGGATCTGAGTCAATGATTTCGTAGCGCCGTTGTTTGCCCTCGCCAATGACGGAGGTCACGCGGCAGAGGATGCCTTCGCCTTCGAGGGAGCGCGATTTGTTGTTGCGATAGAGGACTTCGGTGTGAACTGTCAGGCGGGGTTTGGGGTCGTGGGCTGCTAGGTGTCAATATCTTGGGGTAACTTGGGTGGTAATAAGGATGGAAAGAAAGTTACAAGGATGAGGAGGAGCACAGACTGGAGGTAAAGATCAAGGAAACCAGACTTAAAGAACTGGAACTGGAATAGGAACAGATATTGGAAGAAGCGAAAAACAAACAGAGGACCTTTCGGAACCTCATTCATTTAGAGAACCCTGATAGAAGAGTACCACCAGTGGGTATATAACAGGAAGAATCTCACACACTCCCATACCCCAAGGGTAGGACCCAAGAAGAAACAGGCTGGCAGACTGACATCAACGAGCGCCACCCATTTTGGACTTAGAAGTAGACGCCCACCGGGAAGAAGAACGAGTGTTCTTACCCTTGGTTTGGTCCGCGCCCTCCGCATCTTCGACCTTTACACTGCTCTCCCGAACCGCCGGCACAGAACTCGCCCTGCTCCCTACCTGTTTCATAAGCCTGTCCTTCGTCGTATTGATCATGACCTTCGGACTCGGTCCTCCACCAGGGCTGTCTGCCGCAATGCTTTCTCGGTCGTCTAGTGCATCGGTATGTTTCCTCTTGGTCTGGCGATCGCGCTGGGACTTGCCGACTGATGCGGCACGTGATGTAGGGATGGGGTCGGGTTCGTGTGCGTCACGAAGAGCCGAGAGAATTTCGAGAGATTTGAGGATGTCGTTGCCGCCTGATTCGTCGGCTATGAGGTTTTGGATTTCTTCACTTAGACGTATGTTTTCTCGGAGGTTTTTCTCAAGGTCCGCGTCGATGCTAGAGGAGGGTGATTCGCCACGGGCTGTAAATGCGTTAGCGATGAGAATACATGAAGGTAAGGGCAAGAGACGGATATAAAAGAATTCGAACGCGGGAGTGTGGAATACGTTTAATGTACCTATGACTGCAGTTTGTTGTTCCGTCAACTCCACGATCTTCTTGCTAATTGCATCGGATTGGACCTATAATGTTAGGTATTAGTACTAATTAACGATACAGTGCGAGAGAGCAAAATAAACAAAAATTAATTGATCTTATCGAAATAATATGGAAAGAATTTTATATTGGGTCGTCTCTGGTTGTTATTCTCGGGTCTCTGTTTGCATTCTGGCTAGGTGAGACCCCAATCAAGGGTTGTAGACTTAGACGACTCAGACGATCTCTGATATGATACATTTGAAGCCGAGGTTGCTCGCTTGGAGAGTCTCCGGTAGGGTCTTTTCGATGCGCATCCGCTCGGTTTGGATCCTCTCGGGCACGGGAAAGGGTATTCTTGGTCAACAATAATCGAAATTAACCCGTACAGTTCGAAAACTACCGATAAGATATGATAGAAACTGAGACTGTCCACCAGACCTCGCGTAGAGCCTTTCGATTCCGATATGTCGCGGAAGGTTGATCTCGACTTATATGATTTGGTGGTAGATGCCCAAGAAGGCCAAGCTTTTGAGTGAAATGTATCCTTACCATTAGGTGGTCGACTCTCTTTGCATCGGCTCGTATCTGGCTCCATAGCGTGCGCTCCTCGTCGATCTCTTCCTTGAGTTGCCCGGCACGAGGTCTGCTGCGTGCGGCCATTTTGACAAGCGCCCTCTTGCCGCTCTTTCCCACACACCCATTCACTGCTTCTTGTTCATAGGGTGTATCATGAGTAACTTGATGATGAGATCGAAGAGTGAGATGGCAGGTGGATGAAGGGTGCCTGAAAATGGACGCATGAGCTGCTAGTCAGATACGAGAGGTGTGTTTAGGCGAAGCTTAGTGTGGAAGCTACACCAGGAGCGGTCAAGTGCCACTGAGCAGCCGGAGCTTATTTCGACTCCTCCATTTATGAAGTGGCGGTAACACTAGACAACAAATAATTCACTCCCCTAACGTTACAAGCTCTCAGGATGCAGGTACCTTTAATTCGACTTCAATGCGGTAAATTTGCATGCAGATAAGCTATTTTATTCCTGTTAACTTATTATAACTAGGTGTGAATAGTTACGATTGGGGTGCGTTTACTACCCGGCACGGATATTGCAATCTAAGATAGCTGAAGTGGCCCAGGGAAGATTGGCCAGTCTTCGGCTGCTGCCAAGTTCGCCGCTGCGGCCGCACAAACTAACTTTTCGATTCAAGAGGAGAAGCCATATTCTGAAGTTCGTTAATCCAAAGTCTATTCAGCAAGCCATTGCTAACTTCGCTAGCTATGGATGGGTACGCATCCCTCGCTTCCTTCCAAAGACCTGGAGACGCAGCGAACGCTCCTCGAACTCTTTCAGGATAATCAAGCTCTGCTTTCGCAAGATATTGCCGACCGCTATGGCAACAAGTTGCCGTTTCTGTTCAAGGTCTTGTCGATTAACAAGGCTTTGAGTATCCAGGCGCACCCTAACAAAAAGCTTGCTGAGCAGCTGCATGCTAAGGACCCCAAGAACTATCCGGGTTAGTCTGTCGTTTCTGGATACTCTATGCTCTTAGCTCACACGTTCATGATTAGACGACAACCATAAACCCGAAATGACGATCGCCATTACCCCTTTCGACGGGCTATGTGGGTTTCGTCCCCTTGCTGAGATCACCCACTTCCTACAGAATATTCCTTCCCTTCGAAAGCTTGTTGGCGAAGAAGAGGCAAAGGCCTTCGAGGACGCAGTGAAGGGCAAGGAGAGGTCTGATAAAGAGGAGGATATTGAGGCGAACAAGAGGGCGCTACAGTCTGCCTTTACGAAGATCATGAACGCAGGTATGGATGTTTTGGCGATGGCGTCCGAAGAGCTTCTTCAAGCAGCCAATTCTGAGGGTGCTAGCTTTGCCGGCGAGGGGGGTCCCTCAAACGGGGGCAAAGAACTCGCTGATCTTGTCATCCGCCTTAATAGCCAGTTTCCTGGCGATATCGGTCTCTTCGTACAATTCTTCCTCAACTACGTCAAGCTCGACATCGGCGAAGCTATGTTCCTAAAAGCAGACGATATCCACGCATATCTTTCAGGAGATATCATCGAGTGCATGGCATCTTCAGATAATGTGGTTCGCGCTGGATTCACTCCTAAGTTCAAGGATGTCTCGACACTTACCGCCATGTTGACTTACTCGTACGCTCCAATTAGCGAGCAGAAGATGAAGCCCGTGGACTATCCCTATGCAACCCTCTCTGCCGCAGCCTACAAATCCAACTCTACGAGCATCCTCTACGATCCGCCGATCCCTGAATTTAGCGTTGTGCGAACAGCGCTGAACAAGTCTGGTGCCAAAGCAACATTCGATCCCATCCAAGGACCAAGCATCGTGCTCTGCACAAAAGGCAATGGTCACATGGGTGTGGGCCCGAAGAGAGAGATATGCGAGGAGGGAAATGTCTTCTTCGTAGGCGCTAATGCGGAGTTGACGATTGAGAGTGGGACAGAGGGATATGGTGGCGAGGGAATGGTGACATTCAAGGCTTTCTGTGAGATTACAGATAACGGCAGACAATAGTTGTAAGAATGCCGCAGCGGATTTGAACATAATGGGATGGTAGAAGACGAAATAATGTGTCACAGGTTCCTGAAGACGTGATGGTCTCCAGCCGTTTGATATTGCCAAGACCTCAATGAGACTAGACCTAAAATAGATTTCAGCGCCAAAGTACGCTTTATCCATTGCTTGATGAATCCTCGCAAATCCGTCACAACCACTACACTCATACTATCTTTGACAATCACACTAAATTTGCAGAATCCCATCGTGCCATTGCAGCCATCTCACCCACCTCCTCCTCCACGCCACAACCGAGTCGGCAATCTGTGGACCCTCGCTCCTCCAATCATTCAATCAAACTTCCAAACAGCGAGCGCAACGCGACCCTGCAAGCGACGAAACGTGTTGCAAAAACTACCAATACTGTCTGCCAATAACTGGCTTGTCACAAGCGAGAAACTCCTGCCGCCATGAACAACTTCTCCTCCTTCCTCGACACGTCTTCCTCGAACCTCCCTGGACCCGGCATGCCTCGTGCCGCGCCCTCGCCTTCGCCCTCACAAGCCGCGGCGGCGGCTGCTGCGGCGCACCAAACAAATGGGGTCGGGCCCCAGGCGAATAGTATACCGATGGTAAACGGGCTGCCGAGCGGAGGTCAACAGACGGATATGAATCATCTGTGGAGCGTGGTGCAGCAGCTGAGCCAGGTGTTGGAGGAGAATCGTGCGCAGACGCAGGGCATTGTGAACGGTGTGCACGCGATTCAGGCGAGGGCTGCGGAGACGGAGGGAGGAATTGCGGGCCTGGGAATCCGGGAGGTGAATGGGGATTTGAATAGTAAGGCATCGGCACTCCCGTGTGCATCCTCAATAGATCAATATACTGATGAGAAACAACAGCCGCCTCGCGCAGCGCCGAACTCTCAAATCTACACTCCCAACTCTCCTCCTTGCAAACCACCATCTCAGATCTCACCACCTCGAACACAGCCCTCCGCACGCTAATCACTGACTACGAATCCGCACTCACCCTCTGCCTCGATAAACTCCGCCCATACGCCTACAACCAAACGCAAGCCATGCTAGCGCTCCACAAGCACTACCAAACCCTTGTTGAACAAGAACGCGCAATTTCCATGCAATTGAGACTGGAACATGCTGAGTGGCAAGCGGGCCTGGGACGGGTGGCGGAATATGCGAGGTTGGCGTTGAAGGTGCAGAGTGATGGTGAGTTGCCATATAAGAAAGAATTGAAGGGGTTGAAGGAGGAGAACAGGGTGTTGAGGCGGTTGGCCGGGTGGGAGGAAAGGAATGAGGACAGCAGTGACGAAGAGGGGGAGGAGAGGATGGGTTGAACAACGGGATGGGCATTAAAGCTATTTCATATTCACGGATTGATCAGTGAGAGCAAGTGTGATTTTTGGTGACGGACATGCATAGCGCTGGCGTTGCATTGGATATATCACTAACTAAATTAAATTTTTTTTAGGATGGATATAAAACTAATTGTCTGGGCCATGCCTAAAGAGTAGGATAAAATGGACCGCATCTGCATGTTGTTAGTTACTACGGAACAGAGGATCTAGCTTTCAGCATAAATCAGCATTGTCGGAGCCTCCTCATTAATACCAGAAAAAGGGTGGCGGGATCGGATCTACTCTAGTTTGATCTAGTAGCATGTAGTAAGGTGTCGCCTCAAGCGCCGCAAAGCGGAGACTAATATTCCAATCTAACTACAACATCGCTGAGGCTGCAATCCAAACAATACCCCTATAAACCCGGTTCACAGCACCACTACAACTTACATTTCCAGATGCTCATCATACCGTCCCGAATAGTCATACCTCAATCCAGTCCTTCGACCTACAGGCTTCTCAACCCCTACATCTCCCTCCTACCTTCTACTCCTTCATCACCCACTCTCACACACTCTCACCCAGCCCCTCACCCTCTTCAAACTTCCCTTAAACTCTTCGACAAGCTCCCTCATCTCCCTCGTCCGCTCCTCCATACCTAAACTTCTACCTCAACCGCTTGTCGTCCCTCAGTACAACGCCCATATCCACAACTCTTACAATGATCCAGAGTGGCCCCCGTAGCGCTTAAAAGAGAGAACAAGAACTGGGTGTTAGCGTCGTCAGCATGAGAGGCTTTGGCTTGGGACTTTGGGGGCTTTATTTACTAGGGCAGTGGGTGGAAAATCCTTCGCCCGAGTGATATCAGCGGGAATCGTGATCGGTGGAGTAGGAGAGGTCCAGGAAATCTGTTATGGTCTAGGTTTAGCGGCTGGAGGCTGGGGGGAAAAGTGGTGCAGATTGAGGAAATAGGGAGTGGACATTGCCGACGATTTTAGGGTTCGAGGTTGCAACATGAAGATGCTCAGTATTGAGATTTGGGTTTGAGATTGAATTTGGAGGATTTGCAGTGCTCGAGACTAAATTGTGCTCTGGGGGGTTTAAGGTGGTTGGATCATTATGAGCTTCTTCATAAAGAGCATTAAACTGTTCTGTCGAGGCAAATTCTTCTGTACTGCCATGGTCCTCATCGGCAGAATGCCTAGCATCTGTCTGCGTCCTCCCAAAAGACGACTGAAGGCTCTGCTCAACATGTGATTCATACTAGATTGTGGCTATTCTGGTCATAACAGTATGCTCAACCTTCCTTCCTGGCTTTTTCTGATACGTGACGTTGCCGGCTGGTCCATTTTTCCGCCCTACAGGCTCGAGTGGAAAGCCAGGCAAGTATATGGCTAGTCGACAGTCATTGAATGGTTTGGGCGTCTCGAGTATAAGGTCCCAGTCGATGGTCTCACTGTCTTCGGGCTTATTACTATACACTTCATCACCGCACGTAGTGACTCCTGAATCTGAGGTCGAGGACCTGGAGCTACTGGGTGACAGTCTTTCATTCCGACCCTGAGGCTCAAGTGGGGAGGCAGGAAGCACGCTTAAGTATTCTGAATAGCAGTCCGGCTTCAGAAACGCTATTGACGTTTTCGACTTGCTCGGCTTTAGGATCCGAAGTGAATCCAGCGGAGTCTGAGGAAAAGAAAGCACGTCTAAGTCGTGCAGTTAGTGAAAGATTCAGTCTGACCTTGTGGATATCTTTAGGATCCTCGATTTGGTCGAATCCAGGACCCGAGGTGGTATCATCGAAATCTTCGTCGAAGGAAACACATCTGAGCCGTTGGTGGGCAAATCGGTTCGTTCTGGGAGACTCCTCTGGTGTGCTCTGGCGTTGTCGCTTGATCGCCGTCATTCGGTCCTGCTTCATTGGTTTGCAACAAGCGGTGGCAGCTGGGAAGTCCGCACGAAGTTGAAGGCGCTTCAAGTGCCTTTACTTCTTTTGATTCCTCTAGGATGAGTGCATCCTTGAGCCCACATAGGGTTGCACCGCAAGCAAGTCTCCTCAAAATCATATAAGCAGCTTTGTAACAGCACAGCTTTTTGAACTCTCGGTTTTTGGAGCATATTTGCATGTCAGGGTCTCCATGACGGACGGCACACGCTGGGGCTGACTCAAGAACGTGAGAAGAGGATTCCGCAGGGAGGCCCACTACTTGAACTCTCCGTTCCTCACGATATTCTTGAGTTCGGAGCCCTTTCTCATCGAAATGGACCAAGACCTGTCTGCCATTAAAGCCCCACAGTCGTGCCTGATGTATTTATTGTCTAGCCGGGGACTTGAAAGTTGCTTTCGGAGTTTTCGAAGATGTCAAGTAGTCGAAATCCCCTAGACCGTCCTCGACCGAAACTTTTCTAAACAGAGCAATATTGCACTGGATCACGCCTTCGAGGGCATCTCTTCTTGGTGGTAGAGCAGCTGGGAGAGGGTTCCTTAATTGCCGCCAACTCTCCGCCACCCCGAGCTCGTTGAGGTAGTTATCCTCGGACCGGGAACGTAAGAAGATTAGATTTATGAACCCTTCTTCTTCGGATTGTTCCTTTTAGATTTTCTGGTACCGTGTGCACCCACCACAATTTCTGCATTCTTGTCATCGTACTTGTCGAACACCATATGATTGCCCTTTTCCATCAAGATGGTGCCGGCTTCGAGAATTCTCTATAGACGTCCCATATACCGGGTTCTTTCATGGGCCGAGTCCCTCGAGATAATGAGGGTTGGTTTGTTCCTGCAATATAAAACTGAACTTCTCATTCGATGAGCCGCTGCAGCCCCCCGCTCCCTTTCTTTTGCTCTCTGGCGTGGAGTCTCCGGCGATTATTTAAAGGCAACTTTTGTGCCAGTTTCTATCAACAATGCTCCATACCAGCCAAGGTAGTTGCAGATTGCTCCTTGCCTATTAATCTTACCTGATCTATCTTAATATTGAAATGACACTGCTGTTAAGTTCTCTTTAATACCTTTTAAGTTGTAGTTAATAGCGTATTAAATCTCTATTGTAGGTTGAGTTCACAAAAATTAGGTAACGTACACCACAGGCAAGTTGCTTATACACCTAAGTTGCTTACTTTTGCTAAGACCCTACTAAACTACTCTTTCTACACTAATGCATTTCTAATAACACTACTTAGATATACTAAAATAATGTTAAATATAGCTTATGCTTTAGGCTTTTAAATAAGATATAACACTTTTAAAGTAATATACTACAGCTATATATAAAGTTTTTTAGAAAATAATAAATAACTAATACACTAAATAACTTTTATAAGCTAATTTTATAGCTAACTTATAAAAGCTAGGTAATAATAAAAAGTAGGTAATTATTAAGCACATACTTAGGCTATATACACAAGGATTTTCTTCTTAGCTAGTAGCTATAGGTAATATAGCTAATTCTTTACACACTAAGTATAATATAGGCTATGTTAGTATAAACTAGCTTAGTATGTTTATAAAGTGTTATCTAAAGCTTAAAGTAAAGTTTAAGTGTAAGTATAACTATAAAAAAGCTTTTTATAAAGATCTTATAACAGCGTAGGCAATGTAACAGCACAGGCAAGACAATAGGTCTAAATGCAGTGGGAATCTACTTAGAGGCATATAGAAGTGCGTGGGGACTTAGAACCTGGGAATGCTATTAACACCTATATGTAAAGATGGGATGGTAAGTAGCACAAATAGCACTGAGAGCAAGCTTTTAGAGAAAGATAGGAGTGTATTGTAAGAGAGACAAATTGCTACTAAGCCTTACTTATTAGGATTTATGCTTATATACAAAGCACAGGTCATACAACCTCTAAACAGGTTAGGTAAGGCTATACTAGCCTGTTCTAGAACATCTAGCCTTACATTATCCCCCTTTATAGTAGTCCTATAACGTACTTCACGGGCGAGTTGCTCACACACCTGAGTTGCTTACTTTTGCCAAGACCCTACTAAACTACCCTTTCTACACTAATGCATTCCCCACAACACTACTTAGACGCGCTAAAAGAACGTTAGATACAGCTTACGCTCTAGGCTTTTAAATAAGACATAAAACTCTTAAAGAAATGTGCTATAGCTATGTGTAAGGTCCTATAAAAGATAATAAATAACTATAGCGCTAGACAACCTTTATAAGCTAATTCTATAGCTAAATTATAAAGGCTAGGTAATAAAAAGAAGCAGGTGATTATTAAAACTATACTTAAGCTATATGCGCAAGGAATTTCCCCTTAGATAGCATTTATAGCTAATATAGCTAATTCTTTGTGCGCTAAGCGTAATCTAGGCTATGTTTGCATAAACTAGCCTAGGTTATGTTTGCATAAACTAGCCTAGGTTATGTTTGCATAAACTAGCCTAGGTTATGTTTGCATAAACTAGCCTAGGTTATGTTTGCATAAACTAGCCTAGTATGTAGTAGTCTATGTTATAAAGTAGCTTACTTATTAAAAGGTTTTTTTAGTAATTAAATTTAACATTATTTTTACTTATAAACTTAGGCAAATTCTCTGCTTTAGCTAATAGTTTTAGCCTAGCTCTCTAGCTTATAGTGCTAATATAAAAAAGTTAGGTGTTTTTAGCATAGCTAGGTTAAATTATAGTTACTTTTTTAGTATAGTTAGTATAAGTGTGCTTTTTAGCGCTTAATAAGCTTTATCTAAGAAAAATAATTAATTACATACTAGTGTAGTAGTAGCTTTAAGTCTTTTAACTTTATTTTTATAATTAGCTAAGTATTTAAAAGTTTTATTTAGTAAGCTTTAAAGCTTTTATAGCTTTTTACTAACTTTTACTTACTTAGCTTCTACTATATTAACTACTTTAGTAAGAGTATTAGTATAGTTTTAATAAGCTTACACTTTTAATAACTACTATAGTAGCTTATTTACTATAATTATATAATCTGCAGCTATAAGGTTTAGTAGGTCTAAGCAGAGGCTAATTAAATTATAATTAGTAGTACTCTAAGTAATAGCCTTTATTTAAAATAATAGTGCTTTTTTAGCTTACTAAGCGCGCGTGTGTGTAGTCTTAATAGCATAGTCCTTCTTAAACACATTATTAGTGTAGAACTAAGCCTAGCATAGCAGCGTCCTTAGTTTAGGCGTATAGGTGTTGCTAGTAGGCTACGTAGTAGAATTAATGTATATTTTAATCTTTAATAGCTTTTTTATTCTAGTGCTCTTAGCTTTTTCCCTCTACTCTAGGATCTAGCAGTCTGCAGAGGTATAGTATAGTGTAAGCCCTAGGTCTAGTGACAGTAGGGCTAATAGTTAATTAGTAGTAGGTTTGTACGTAGGTTTGTACAGAGCCTGCAGCTCTCTTTGCGTTGTTGCAGTAGTAGTTAGTACAGTAGGCCCCTCTCTTATAGTTAATTTAAACTAGAGTAGCAGCACTCTTAGCTTAAAGCTTTTTAATAAAGTATAATAATTTAATTATTACTTAGTATTACTTTTATAGTTGCCTAGCCTAACTAGGGCTTTAAAGTAGATAGCTATTATTAACAAACTAAAGCTTAGCTTAGTTATACTAGTAAATTTGTCTAAGTAAGAGTTAGTTAGTAGATTAAGCTTTTAAAGCTAACTATATAGTAGACCTAGATATTATGTTACTATTTTTTAGCTAAATAAAATAATTTTAGTATAATATAATAATAAGTACTATCTCTACTACTATATAAAGCTAAAGAAGTAAGGTAGAGTAAGTTAGCTTTATTTTAGCTACACTAAAATAAAGAGAAGAAAAGGAGCTTTAAGAGTAGCTCTATAAAAAAAGTGCTTACAGTGCTAAGGCGCTAGCAAGGACGCTAGCGCTAAGCAAACTAATAGCGTTGCGCTAGTCGCACCCTCTATATCCTGATTGGCTGCACGGGCAGCTCGTCATGTGACGCGCGACAGAGCTCTCTGCGTAGGACCGTCACATGCAGCAGTATAGTAGCTAGGGTTAAACAGTCCTGTTAGACAAGGTTAGAGGTATATATAGTATAAGATATATAAATAGTATTATAGCTTTTTAAAAAGCTAAATGCTACTTAGTCTATGTAAAAAATAAACTAAATATTAAACACACTTTTTAAAGGTTGTTTAAGGTTTAAACTATATACATATATAGAAAGTGCTAAGGCAAGTAGGATAAGTTTATGTAAGCCTGCTAAGAAGAGCTTTATAAGCTCTCTTAGACTTGTTAGATTTGTAGCCTGTTTTCCTATTAGACAACGCACTCCTCCATCACCGCAGGCAGCTGCGCTGCCTCCGTGTCCTCCAACTGGTTCATAAGCGAGCCCTGCCCTAACTCGGCTAGATTGTGGAGCACCGCTGGTGGAGTTACGCTGGTCTAACTGTAGACCGTAACAAAATCTACTTAAAGGCATATAAAAGTGTTTAGGGACTTAATAACCTAGGAATTCTATTAACACCTATAGGCCTTGTACAAAGGATATTAGAAAACTACTAAGCTAGCTACAGGAAAGAGGTGCAACTAAATACATAAGAGAATAGAGGTAACAGCAGGGGGCAGGGCAGAGTTAGGGCTAGGTCGAGTCAGGGTCGGGGCCAGGCCGAGTCAGGGTCGGGGCCGATACAGGGACCCTTCAGATAGGTTCTGGGCTACCCGAGATGGAACAATTCATGAGAATTGTTACATAAGTATAGCATCTAAAATAATAACATAGACAACTTTAATAAAATAGGCTTTATAATAGGCTAGATATCTACTAACTATACTTATACTTAAAACTTTACTTTAAGCTTTAAATAACACTTTATAAACATACTAGGCTAGTTTATGCTAACATAGCCTAGATTATGCTTAGTGTGAAAGAATTAGCTATATTAGCTATAGCTGCTAGCTAAGAAGAAAATCCTTACATATGTAGCTTAATTATGTGCTTAATAATTACCTACTTTATGTTATTATTTAGCCTTTATAAGTTAGCTATGGAATTAGCTTATAAAAGTTACTTAGTATATTAGTTATTTATTATCTTTTAAAAAACTTTATATATAGCTGTAGCATGTTACTTTAAAAGTGTTAACGTACCTAACAGGTTGGCTGGCTACACAGGTTGGCCGGCCACTTTTGCTAAGCCTCTACTAAAACCACTCTATTCTAGCGCAAAACAGCCTACTTTAGCCCTATATAAAGTAATATAACATAAGATATTATTTAAAGTCTACTTCTACTACTTTTTTACACATACGCAAGTTATGCCTAGTCTAATTGCACTGCCTACATTACCTTTAACTTAGCTTACCTTCTTTAGTGTGCACCTATGTTTTTAGCTTTTTTCTATTACTACGCGCTCTAAACCTCTTTAAAGTAGTTAGATAAGCTTTATTTTTAACTATTAAAGTTTTTTTTACTTAAATCTGCTTTCTTTTATGTAATTTACATTATATAGCAGCCTTATTTACTGCTTAAAGCTTTATAATTTTATTTTATACTAACACTAGCTTATGCATAATAATTGCTGCCCTTTTTAAGACTTTTTTAAAAGCTTTTATTATAGATGTTAGTAAGCTATCTATATACCTCTAAATTCTTACTTTTATAAGCATTAATTATAACTTAAATTTAAAAGTATTACTTAGAGTTTACAACTACTAAAGCTTATTATTAATAAGTAGTAGTAGTAATAAAGTATATAACTAAATATTAAAAGCTATTTTAACTTATTTTAGGTTAAATAAAACTAAACTAGCGCCTTAAAACCCTCTTTAAATATTACTAAAAGTAATTACTACATTATAGGCGTGTATAAAGCATAGTAGAAACTTAAGTTTTATAATATAAGTAATTTAGTTATATATAAGATTTTTAGCTTAGCGCTTATAACATGGTCCACAAGCGAATGTTCAACACAAGCGAGTGTTCCGCCCCACCACTAAAACGCAGCTAACCTACTACTAACCACAATGCATTAACAACTATATAATTAATTATCTTTAAAAGAGGCTAGAATTAACCTAGCTATTTAAGCTTTTAATAGAGACGCGTCTTTAACTAAGAGGCGTGCTGCAGCACTCTATAATGTTAATTAAATAGCTCTCTGCTAACAACACGCAGAGATAACTATGCAACGCGACTGTACAGCTAATAACAAGAAGCTTACAAAGCTAGAAAAGGAGGTAATTATTAAGCATATACTTAATCTAGATTCCTAAGGATTTGCGCCTACTCTAGGTGCTGTACAAGAGATGGCTAACAAGCTTCTTACTAAGCGCAGCGCTCTACTAGCAGGTATTAACTAGCTATCTAACTTTGTTGCGCGTACACTAGCAGTTAAAACCTACTTTAGCTAACTATATAATTACTAATAAGCAAAATGTAAAGATCTAGTAATTATAAGTAAGTAGTTTAAGCTTATAAAGGCTACATAATTAAAGTACAGCATTATAGATTAGAACATATATAATTTTAATAAGACAGGCTTTTAGATAGGGGTTATATTAAGCTAAATAGTTATTATAGGCACAGATAGACATAATTAGCTAAAGGCTATACAGCTAAGTAACTGTAAATAGGTGACAGTTATTACAGGCATTAACACAGATAGGTAGGCAATACCTTTATACATAATCTTTAAAGGCAAGCATTACCTATCTGCTTAGTATAAAAATAAAAATATACTAAAAGACTAGGCTATTAGTGTTAGCAATAATAGCTAGATAACTAATAAACATAGAATTACATAGCTAGAGCACTTTAATTTGCATATAAAAAATTGCTTAGTAGGCTTATAGTAGCTGCTTATTTTTAATAGCTATAAGAGCTATTACTCTATTAAATTCTTAGAGCTCTGTAAGCAGAGGTGTATTATAGCGCTCTGTATGCTAGTACACGCGTTACATATTCTACAGCTGCTTAACGTTAGCTGCTTTTTGCTGTTAAAGCGCGCGTACAGTACTAAGATTAGCTAGTTAATCTACTACTAAATTAACTATATTAATAAGCTAACCTTTTTACTAGCCTTTAAGGCAGCATTTAGTTGCTTAATTATAATAGATAATATCTACGCAGGCTTTAAAGCTACAGGACTAGTTCTATTTAACCTAGAGCTAGTGCTTTTAAAGCTTAATATATAGCTACCTAATTAGCTAGCTACTTTACTACTAAATACTACCTAGAAGGCTTAAACACTTAGTAATTTTTATAAGGTTAAAGCTTAGTTAACTTTACTATATAATTAGATTTAAAAGCATTAAAATTTATTTTCTTTTACTATACTTAATCTAGCAAAGCAGCTAAGTAAGGGCGCTACTAAAATAGCTTATGTTGCTGTTTTATAGCATAATTAAGCAGCTACTTTAGAAAGAGCCTGTAAGGCAGCTATAAAGTGTAAGTAGTGTAAAAAAAAGTAAATTTAGAAAAGAGAAACTTTAACAAGTTATTAAAGCTTTAAGTTAAGTACTTAAAAGCTTACTAGTATAGTAAGAGGTAGTAAAATGCCTTAGAAGGAGTTAACTGCTAAAAGCAGCGCAGCGCGCGCACAGCGCTGCAAG